TTGTTATCTTGCATAAATTTATTCATAACGTTAAAGATATCTTCTCCTGTTGTATAACCTAATAAAGGCTGGCAAAATAAAAAGTCGTCGTGGATTCCTTGGTTCTTTTCGTATCTAACAAACGCCATAAGATTTGCAAAATTTGTGATATCAGTGGACTCATCGACTTGTAATGCATAATAACTGCAATATTTAACAAATAATATAAGAACTGTATTATTTGACAAGGGTACACGATCAAGAGTTTGTTTTGCTTTATCATTACTTCTGCCATTATTTTGGCAGTCGGCTTGATTAAAGTTTCGCCAATCGTCTCCGCTGCACCAAATTTCGCAATTAAAAGCGAGACGCGATACGCAGTTTCTAGGATTTTTTGATTGTCACCTCCTATTTAACCTCTCATTACTTTTTGAGATTGATTTAAATCTTTGCGTTTATGTTCAAAAAATTCGATTGGTTTATCTTTGTATTCAAAGTGCTTTGTGTCAAAATGTCGCTTTAAGTTCGATGGTTTCATACTTTCATTGGTAAGGTTTTCAAAACAAATTACGCAAAGTGGAATGGGTTCCTTTTCATCACCACTCCACGAGAAGCCCAATTTAAGGTATTCTTTGTCGACTTCTTGCCAAAGTGCAGAAAATTCCCGCTTATGGAGAGGTCGAGCAGTGATAAAATTAACAATTTTTGTTACATCAAACATTACATTATTCAGTTCTGAAAATCCTGATTTAGCACACAATACCTCTTGATGGATAATGTAATAGAATGGTACAATAAGATGTCTAACAGTTTCCATAAACAATTTGACGAATCCCACATTTTTTCAAACCATATTTGGTGTCTCATCTGTTATGACATGACCGATACAATTCACGATATTAATGTTTAAGTCACTGAACGTGAGAAAATTTCAAAATTTGGCATTCTCTACACGATGTTTACATGACAAAATTTAATTGTTTTTTTTGTGTCAACAGCTACCAAAATAACATTGAGTGTAAAACATTCATGAGCTACTACAATAAAATGTTAGTTTACTTTTTGATGGGGAAAGAAATGAATTTTTAAGAAAAACGAAATACTATGGTAAAAAGAATGTTTTTAGGATCTCAATAATAAAAAAAAATGTCATTCCATTTCAAAAAAAAAGTTTAAAGTCGCCAATTTCAAATAATTTGCAAAGTGAGATTTGAGCAGTGATGAACTGGACGTGTCAAAATTTTCAAAACTTTTAGTAAATAATATGCTGCCGTGTCATATACAGGTGTCACAGAAAAAACGCTCCAAGCTGTAACTCTGTCATTTACACTGCGATTTTTATGAGCGAGTTATCAAACGAGTTTGATGAATACTACATTACATTACATTGCATCGACTACATATCGGGTAGGCGGACTAACCAACCTTGCACCGCGACCCTAAGGATCTCTTGTACCCCGATAGATATCGTTATCAAATTTCACCGTGCAGTCCAATGCTCTTAACGAACATTAATACCTTGCTCGGCGAAAGGTCATTCAGATCCTTTGAGGAGATAAACTGCGACCCAAAAATCGAGAATCTGATACGGTTAACGGCAGGGCAGTGGCATAAAACATGCTCAACCGTCTCTGCTTCCTCCGCACATAGTCGGCATTCAACATCGTCGGCTAAACCCAACAAGTTGAGGTGTGCTTTTAATCGGCAGTGCCCAGTAAAAACACCCATTAGAACTTTTATGCTACTACGGGCAAGTCCTAAAATATTCCCGGGTTTGACAGTGGCGATGTTAATAAACACCTTAGCATGTCTCATTCCAGGAGAACTGGTCCACAGTAGGCGAAGTCTCTCTTCAGCCCACAGTCCAATCCTATATTTGGCCATCGCAAATGATACACCAAC